CAACGATTGAGAAACCAAAAAAAGTATCCAAAAAAAGTTTCATTCCGGCCGACCGAGTCTCCTTTTTGAGGGGTTGCCGACCGGAAACAAGCCTATTTTTTGTTTTGGCCTTAGGCATTTTGCCTGTTTTGATTTCTACTATAAATAAAGTATACATGGTTGATAAATATGGCGGTAAACACACGCCTGCCCACACACGCTCTCTAGGCTGCAAAGTTCTGGCACAGAGCTCTCCTTCTCACCACCACCACCATCAGTTCGCGCCTGGCGCCTGGTCGATGCATGGCTGGCGGTATCCGGCATAGCAGGCTGGTACATCAAGTAGCGCATGGCACATAGATGATGACACAGCAACGACATAGCTCGAGGCGCAAGGCGGCCAGAATCTGCCTCCGTCTCCCCCTCTACACTCCTCTGAATCATTCAACACTGCTACATCGGCTCAAATGGCCGACAATGTTCTCTCGCCGCAAAGTGAAGCTCACCCTTCTTGCCCACTCCATAAAATACCAATATGCCCTACAACACATACGCATGCTCAACACCCCCGCTCAAGTTACCGCCCAGTACAGCCTTTGACACGCACGCCCTTGGCACCTGCCACTCTCCAGAACCGATCGCTGTAAAGACTCCCCACTGTACAAGTCCCTAGAATACTACAATGCCCTCCCTGCTAGCATTCGTGACGTGTCCTCCCGACCTGCTTTCAAACAAGAAATCTGCTCACTGCTGATTAACTCAATCTGCTCCTGCAGCTCTCACCCTCTCCCATACTTGTAAAATTCAAAGTGATGTAAATCACTTTACAACTGCGTAACCCACAATCTCACCTTCTCATAAATTTTTCTATTATTGGCGGTGGTGCCATCGTGAGAATAAAGAATTCAAAAATAAAACAGCTGGGCGTAATCTGGCAGTCCAGGCAGGCTCAGGAGGAGCTAGATGAGCCTTGGTTCCATGGTTGCGAGTGGATATTGGCATGTTGAAATATTTAGACCTCAAAAAACTCCAAGCTAACACGAGGAACACAAGACCACGATGGCAGGTGAGAGAGAGAGTTGCACAGTGGAAGAGCAGCAGTGCACGACAGACAATGGAGATTGAAAAAATACGTTTTGACACTCTTTCGCTGAGCTCAGCCGTGAAAAAATATAACACATTCAGGAGCACTAGATTTAGTTTTGCACGAGCAGAAAGGATCAATGCGGATACAGGCTTTCAATGGTGCTACTTTCTCTGATGTGATAAACAACCTGCGCGTCATAGATAACCTCATAAATTAGTGTCACCCACGGGCTGGTAAGAAAAGTGACGCCGAGAGTCATTGACCTTTCGCAGCTCAGTCTCACCAACATCTCGTGGTATACAGTTTTGAGGAACAACGATGCAACCATGATAGTAAGAACTTTAATGCTTCCTCGGCACAAGTGAGTTGCTTGTAGTGCTCTAAACAAGGTTGTACCATGTGTGTGTGTATGTGTGTGTTTGCATGTGTTTGTGTGTGTGTGTTTGTGTGTGTGTATGTGTGTGTGTGTTTGTGTGAGTGAGTGAGTGAGTTAGTGAGTGTGTGTGTGTGTGTGTGTGCGCATGTGTGTGTATGTATGTGTGTGTTTGTGTGTGTGTGTGTGTGTGTGTGTGTGTGTGTTCTCTGCTCTGGTGGAGGACGGTTGTACCTTTTCGGGCTCTTGTTTCTGGCCTCCGTCCGTGCTTGTTCTCGCAGTTGTGGACGGCCTGGGGTGTCCCCAGCCGTCCAGGCCAACAGTGCCTGAGGTGGGGTATTCACCGACAGGAGACTTGGTCGGATAGTTACGATGCCGACACTCTCCTCGTCGCCCCCACCTCGGAGTCCTTCGCGAGGCTTTTCAAGCCCGCGAGTGGAGCAAACTACCGCACGAGGACGACAACTTGGAACGACTCTGAGTGTTGGCTCATGGAATGTTCGCTCTGTTGTGGAGAGTGATGGACCAGTTCTAGCGGCAGCCGTGAGAGGAATCGTTTCTGATGATAAGCCAGATCCATAGCTGCTGGAGATGGCTCTCTCGAACATGGTCCCGCTCGTCCTTCTATATTGTCGGCCCCGGAAGGGGACACGTGACCGTAATGGCAGTGTTTACCAGGACCAGGACCAGGTGTGTGTGTGTGTGTGTGTGTGTGTGTGTGTGTGTGTGTGTGTGTGTGTGTGAGTTTACTTCCTCCGTTAAGCAAAATTTCGTTCCGTTTTGTGTTCTTGTCTTTCTGTCGGCATTAGACAAACATGTCAGTGATCTATTCCCTACAAAGGCTAGCCGCAGTGTCGTCCGTTGTTCTGACAGGCTTTTGAACCTCCGAAAGCGTGGAGTCCTAGAAATAATCGGCGAAGCATAACCATTTCTTGACAGGATGTCACCAGAACACAACCCAGGCGCATAACACTGAGGTGCGAAAATGAGAAACAGCTTGAAAGACCTCGTGGCTCGAAGAAGGGCCCAGAATTCATGCAGAAGTCGACCAGTCACTGCTGCACAAGCGCGATGGTACGCGTTTGCCCACAGCCAAAATAAATCAATGCACGTGTGTTTGTGGCGCAGGGGAAAGCAAAAGGGTTCGACATTCAGGTTGTTGTTCAGCCTGCGCAAAGTCCCGATCTCAACGTCGACGACTTGGCGTTCTTCCACACCCCGAAGACAGACGTGTCACTTGTGGCGAAGGAAACGAAAAAAGGAGCTTCTGCAGGCTGTGGAAACATGCTGACAGGAGTACCACACTGCCAAGATGAGGAGCGTTCGGCTGTGTCTGTATGGCTCTTTCAATGGCTTCTGGAGAGTCTGAGCAGCAGAGTCACTGGAGGTGAGAGTCAGCGAGGATGCCGACTCGATGACATCAAGGAGTGAGTCGTCATCAAATTCAGACGAAGAATGAAGCTGGACTGCTTTCATGGCCACGCTAGGCGGTTTAATAGCCACTTGAGCCATCTTTCCAAGATTCCTTTTGGGTCTCTCTCCCCTCCCCCATTTGTGTGTGCGTGTGTGTAACGGAAAAATTAAAAATTAAAAAAATTAAAAAGATAGGGATTCACTGGGCGGGCGGGCGGGCGGGCGGGCGGGCGGGCGGGCGTGTGTGTGCAGGCGCTTGCGCCTCGTGGTTTTCTTGGAGCCCGGAAACCACCTTTTTGCGGCCAGCGATAATTGTGCTGCATGCGCAACAGTTAACATGCGGTGCACGTGTACTGTCACAGTGTGCGTAGATGCACGTTTCGTGTGAAAGGCAGGGAACGTGTAGTGCAAGTGCCCACCACCGCTACTGCTGAGTACAGTGTGCAATAACATGTACATTAGTAGTAGTAGTGGTAGTACAGTCAAATCTGTCGTAAGCGACCGCCCCTTGGTGCAAGAAAAAGCGGTCTCTTACGGCAGATGGTCTCTTACGGCAGATGTATGGTAAATCCGGCATACCGGGCATCATGCTTCCATGTACTCAAATCAACGAGAATAATGTGATTTTTAATATCATTATATTGGATATTCAATAGAATATAGGGGTGCACAAACCCAAGAATAGTGCACATACCCGGGCTAATCTGTTTTGTAGCCTACAGGAAGGCAAGTACAGTTTCGCACCTGACTGAACCTGGGTCGAGGGCGCTTACAGCAGATTTGAATGCAGCCACCGTGCATGAAATCGTGGTCGCTGGTCGCGCACAGCAGATGGTCGCTCTGGACAGATCAGTTTGTATGTGAAACCGTCGGTGCACGGAAAATCGGTCGCTAACGGTAGATGGTCGCCTACAGCAGAGGTCGCTAACGGCAGATTTGACTGTAGTAGTGTACGGAGCTTCCAATCCGGGTGGGTAGATCTACACGTACACGTACACGTACACGTGAAGGCCCCTGCATGCACTGGTAGATCTACACATTATAATTATATATTATACCTTTTCACTTACGGTCCATTATCACTGTATTTTTCTCACTGTACCTCATTGGTTTTTTTTAACAGGAGTGGGCCATCCCCTCATTTCATAGGTGCCAAACATGTTACGTTTTTCATTCACGTTTTGAATCTTGTGAAACAATAGATGTCGTATCGTGAAACTGGTAGATCTACACATGGTGCAATAAGTCTAGTACTATCAAGTATCATGCATGCACGTGCACATTACAGTCATCTATGTGACTGGTGCTCGACCTACGTATCTATACGGTCATGTTGCATTCAGGCACACCCACTACGGTACCGGGGCTAGTGACATGTCCACTCACGAGAGATGCAAACAATTTTTTGCTGGACTCGACGCTGTCCAGTGTACGAGACTGTGCTTGTGCTAGGACATCAAAGACAAAGCGCCCACAGTAGGCATGTCGCATATGTCCAAAGTGGAAACAAGTGCTTTCATCATGGCTTGGTTTTGAAGTGGGTGCTTTGGTCTTGGACTCGAGTACGAGCGGCTGTCTGTTTTGTTAGTAAAATAATTTTACTAACAAAACAGTAATTTTACTAAAATTACTGTTAGTAATTTTACTAAAATTACTGTTCAGGTTTGTGGTTTTGAGGACAAAGGCAATGAGTTTTCAACAAAAGACTTTTTCCGCTCTCTGGGGAAAAATCCCAGCAGCGTCGCACCCGGAACGACATGAAATTTCTGACGGAGAGTCGGATTCTTCTTGGAAACCACCTTTTTTGACCCGGTGCACGTGCCTTGTTTGTGTACAAAGTGTGTTTGCAACGCCAATCGCTTCACCAGTTGATCGAAACCAGCACACTGGTGAACCCCAATCATACTTGTGCGGTGTTGTGAGAATACGTGGGTATGCATGCAGCTTTGCTCTGTGACTTTCCATTGCATGTAGTCACTTGGCTCTCCCATTGTCTATACACTGCTCTGATGCATTCGGGTGCAAGCGCTAATGGTGTGTGTGTGTGTGTGTGTGTGTGTGTGTGTGTGTGTGAGCATGTCAGCGTGTGCGTGTGTGTATGCATGTATGTGCGTATCTGTGTTCTTGTTTGTGCGCTTGCATACTCAGGTTCTTCTGATGCTGGCAGCATGCTACTATGGCAGCATTCATTGTGTCCAGTTTTTACTGTGGTGTGATCCGTCGCTCTTGCACAGCAAAGTTATGTTTAAACTCTATGAGGAGCCACGACGTGTGAGTACTGGCCGAAGTGCTCGGCGTGAAACTGTTTGTTCTGATGACTGGTTTGTTTTATTCTGATAAATCCAACATGTGTTCATCCAGCGTCGCATTGCTGTCAAAGATGTTCCCAGAAAATTGAATGTTCCTCTCTTTGTAAATGTGGTGAACAATGCGGCTCAAAGCCATAATACAGTAAAACCTAAAGCTAAAGGCCACTGTGACTAGCGACCAGCCTGGTGCTACAGACCACTTCGCCAGGCACAGACGGTCTCATTTACAAAAATGCACTATGGCAAGCGAATACCTGCTGAACGCGTCCAGCGACCGCCTTTTCTTGTCCCAAAGTCAATTTTTGACCTGTAACTAGCGACGGCAGTGCAGGAAATCAAAGGTTGTTCGAAGCTCCTTCTTCGAAATTTTGATGATTTTCTGTCCTGAATGGACTCTTTCTATACTACAGCTGCATGAACGAACGCAATCTCATTTTGACTATGGGGTGCACTGCACCTGTCATAGTTTCAAGTGCTCTCATGAGCAAACATTATAGGAAACGTCTTGGAGAGTACCTGCTCAAACCTGCTCTATGATCGATGCTACTTCCCAAAGAGAAATGGCATTGCGCAAGTGGTGGCAAATTGTATTAGCTACATTTGGACAAACATATCAGAGATGCGATCCATATATGGTTGCGTGGTGCAAACCTCTATCTAAAGACCACCTGCCACTAAAGACCGTTTCTTCTTGCCCAAAGGGGTGGTCGTTAGTTGAAGGTTTTACTGTATACACGGTATACTTTAGTAGAGCTACAACATAACCACTGGCCAGTGGGTATACTTTAGTAGAGCTACAACATAACCACTGGCCAGTGGGTATACTTTAGTAGAGCTACAACATAACCACTGGCCAGTGGGTATACTTTAGTAGAGCTACAACATAACCACTGTCCAGTGGGTATACTTTAGTAGAGGTACAACATAACCACTGGCCAGTGGGTATACTTTAGTAGAGCTACAACATAACCACTGGCCAGTGGGTATACTTTAGTAGAGCTACAACATAACCACTGGCCAGTGGGTATACTTTAGTAGAGCTACAACATAACCACTGGCCAGTGGGTATACTTTAGTAGAGGTACAACATAACCACTGGCCAGTGGGTATACTTTAGTAGAGCTACAACATAACCACTGGCCAGTGGGTATACTTTAGTAGAGGTACAACATAACCACTGGCCAGTGGGTATACTTTAGTAGAGCTACAACATAACCACTGGCCAGTGGGTATACTTTAGTAGAGCTACAACATAACCACTGACCAGTGGGTATACTTTAGTAGAGCTACAACATAACCACTGACCAGTGGGTATACTTTAGTAGAGCTACAACATAACCACTGGCCAGTGGGTATACTTTAGTAGAGCTACAACATAACCACTGGCCAGTGGGTATACTTTAGTAGAGCTACAACATAACCACTGGCCAGTGGGTATACTTTAGTAGAGGTACAACAGAACCACTGGCCAGTGGGTATACTTTAGTAGAGCTACAACATAACCACTGGCCAGTGGGTATACTTTAGTAGAGGTACAACATAACCACTGGCCAGTGGGTATACTTTAGTAGAGCTACAACATAACCACTGGCCAGTGGGTATACTTTAGTAGAGCTACAACATAACCACTGGCCAGTGGGTATACTTTAGTAGAGGTACAACATGACCACTGGCCAGTGGGTATACTTTAGTAGAGGTACAACATAACCACTGGCCAGTGGGTATACTTTAGTAGAGCTACAACCTTACCACTGGCCAGTGGGTATACTTTAGTAGAGCTACAACATAACCACTGGCCAGTGGGTATACTTTAGTAGAGGTACAACATAACCACTGGCCAGTGGGTATACTTTAGTAGAGCTACAACATAACCACTGGCCAGTGGGTATACTTTAGTAGAGCTACAACATAACCACTGGCCAGTGGGTATACTTTAGTAGAGCTACAACATAACCACTGGCCAGTGGGTATACTTTAGTAGAGCTACAACATAACCACTGGCCAGTGGGTATACTTTAGTAGAGCTACAACATAACCACTGGCCAGTGGGTATACTTTAGTAGAGCTACAACATAACCACTGGCCAGTGGGTATACTTTAGTAGAGGTACAACATAACCACTGGCCAGTGGGTATACTTTAGTAGAGCTACAACATAACCACTGGCCAGTGGGTATACTTTAGTAGAGGTACAACATAACCACTGGCCAGTGGGTATACTTTAGTAGAGCTACAACATAACCACTGACCAGTGGGTATACTTTAGTAGAGCTACAACATAACCACTGGCCAGTGGGTATACTTTAGTAGAGCTACAACATAACCACTGGCCAGTGGGTATACTTTAGTAGAGCTACAACATAACCACTGGCCAGTGGGTATACTTTAGTAGAGCTACAACATAACCACTGGCCAGTGGGTATACTTTAGTAGAGCTACAACATAATCACTGGCCAGTGGGTATACTTTAGTAGAGGTACAACATAACCACTGGCCAGTGGGTATACTTTAGTAGAGCTACAACATAACCACTGGCCAGTGGGTATACTTTAGTAGAGCTACAACATAACCACTGGCCAGTGGGTATACTTTAGTAGAGCTACAACATAACCACTGGCCAGTGGGTATACTTTAGTAGAGGTACAACATAACCACTGGCCAGTGGGTATACTTTAGTAGAGCTACAACATAACCACTGGCCAGTGGGTATACTTTAGTAGAGGTGAACGATAAGGGAAAAGGTACTGTGGTTCTCCCAAGGGTACACAACCCCCAAGAGTGTGCTACTGCAGTTTTGTTGTAACACGTTAGGAGATGGCAGGACATCGCATCACTTGACGAGCGTGCACACACTATTTTCACACCGTGCATAATAGATAGAGCGTTGAACCCAACCCTGTTTTGGATTCAACTCTCCTCGGGTCACTTTGCACTGCTTGCCAGCGTAACCTTTTGAACCACGTGTGATGTGAAGTTCTGGTGTAGCAGCACTGGATAAAGGCGGTGTGGTCAGTTGTACACTCTTGGGGTTATGTACTCTTTGTATCACTAATCTGAGGTTATGAGTTCAGTTCATAGGCACCACTGATGCAAGTATTATTGTGAATTTTGTGTCAAGTTCCAGCCAGCATTTACTATGTCCCGTCCTGTACGACACACACACTAAGGGTGAGATATGCTGTGTTCTTGGAGAAGGCAATTGTACTTTGATTACATGTGTATGGTACTATGCTGCAATAGAAAGGAAAAATCTGGAACTTGTATGCTTTGCAAGTGATTGTAAGAATGTGTATGTGTGTATGTGTGCGTTTATTGCTATGGTGACCTAATAGAACTACTGCCCAGTATCACTTCTACATGTCTGCGCGTTCCGTGGACATAAAGCACTGTGTGAGCTGCTGATAAAAAATGGTGTCGATGTTAATGTCCAAGATCAGGTGAGCTTTGGAGGTGGAATGCACCAATCAAATGCGCTTTGCAACAAACTCTTGTGACATCAAGTATTTTTCAAGGACACCAAACCATTTGTCCTCATGTGCTGAATATTGATCTGCGCATGTGGACATAGTACACGGCATCATGTAACCCAGGGCCGTAGCTGCCACATATTTGACTGGTCCGGAGGGACATTTTTACCTTAAAATGATATGACCGAATCAAGTTACTGTAATGTACCAGTACATGTAGTGCACCTATACAGGTTATACAATTACATCGTCAGTTGAAATGTTTTTGGCGAAGTCACAGATTCGTGAGTGAACGTGGCACAGCGCCGCATATCGAACACATTCGAAAATCTGCTGACTCACCCTCGTATAATAGTGTGTCCATTCTAAAATCTCTATGAAATCATTGGTATAACCTCTAGATGTATACGAATTCTCATAACTTGGAGAAAGATGATTGACACGGTCTTGTGTGGATTTAATATACGTCTTCAGGCTGCGAAGTGCACTGAATGACCTCTCCGATGTGGCGTTCGTGGCTGGAAGAATAAACAGTAGGTGAAACAACCAGCAGGCAGGCAATGACTTACTCAGCTGGTGCAAAGTGAGCAGACAGCTCTTTAAAACTTACAGCCTGTTTGGGCGCGTTCCTGCCACTCGAGTTGAACCCCCTTTGAACCTTTGAGTTGAACCTTGGTGTAAAAAAATGTTGTAGCCTGCAGGCACGATGACCAGGTGACTGGTATACGGACAAGCACGTGATCGCTTACTCTCCCGTGTTTTATTTTGGAATAAGGGCCAAACGCTGCATCGTAGCCTTCTTGGAACAATACCAGTCGACTCAGCATCCAAAAGACTACAACATATGGGCCAATCATGGACATCCGCGCTCATAAGAACGAAATGGCGCTTTTAGTGACATTTTGCATAAAAATGAAATAGTGGTTGCGACTTCGGCGATGATTTTTTTAGAAAGGGTTTGCTCCCACACCGGAGTCAAGTGTCAAGTCAAGTCGTCGGAATAGCGCGAGCTCCAGTGTAAGAGCAAACCCTTTCCTAAATCCCTCTTTGATAGGGTCACCCAGTTTCGGTGGAAGAGCGTGAGTTCGATTGGGGATAAAGGAGGAAGGGAGCGTCTCAAATTCCTCGGACCAAGATCATTCGACTCAGCATCCTGAAGACCGAAAAATGGTATAATAGACCAATCCCGAAAAGATTGTCTTGGTTCGAAAGGGGGCATGTCAACTGAGAGTGCACTGTACAACACATATATGGCACTACCTGATCAGCATGCGGCACAGGACGTGTTTGATAGTTCGGGTGTGAATGCGGGGGTAAGTACACGGTTAGCCCCTGCACCCGTAAATATGCAAGCACCTCCAAGTGAACCCGCACGCCCAGCTTGGGCACTCGTGCACCCACGCAGTCAGAAACAAGCGAACACATGCACGCACACGCCACTGGCGTACCCATGCTCTGACACGCAGACACCCGCACAACGTACCGCTCACTATGGCGTGCACAAACATACAATAGACACTTTGGGTTGAGGGTTGCCAGGATTTCTTTTGGACAATTCAAATATTCAAGAATATGCTCTTTGTAAATAGGCGTCGAGGCGACAATAGTTTTAGAATTGCGATCAACAGAACGAGCTGAACCGACATTTTCACAAAGGCTTTTATTGTATTCAAAAAACGAGTGTATACGAAGGCAGTGAAGAACATGGAAGAAAGAAAAAATGTGATATGGAAGAAATGATGAACAAAAAATTGTACTTCGAACTAGTTTTCGCACAACACTCCTCAGGAAGCTACGTTGTACTAATGAAGAACAATCCAGAAAGATACTAATTAAGAGAAATGGAGTGAGAAGAAACAACACCTATGAAAATGATAATCCTAGCACTAAGGTAATAACAGGAAAAACTGCGAAAGCACTTAACGAAACTTGCAAGGACTACTAGTATACTGTGACACAAGATATGACACCATGGCCAACCAGAGCCAAACAGACAGAACATGTTGCTACTAAAACAA